CCTTTAAGGAGTATATCATTATGATAGAACACATTTCAGGTGAGGAAGGATGGCTGTGATTGGATAGCCGAAGTATAACAGTAGGCTGTATCCAAAGCAAAGTTGTTGGGGGATGTTTGGAGAGGAGATACTGTTGTTGAACTGCTACATCGGACTGAACTGTAAGTGTATGACCTTGGATTGTTTAACTGACCATTGCCTATATTGTATATATTTGCCCACTGTAAATACAAGTCTGTTGGACTATCAGCTGTGTTTGACTTGTTATTTACCACTGCACATATCTACTGGTTTAGTAGATATCATCTCCAAGCCTATCCCCTGATAGAAAGACCTATACAACTTGTTCCGTGAAACCAAATACAACTCATACTAATAACACCCTAACCTGTTTCTTTTTTTTTGCTTGGGACAACAAAATAAAATGCTCTAAAAAAACAAGCAGACTACAATTAAGCTTTAGTAGAGTGGGGTTGACATAACAAGAATTAGACAGGAATAATGTTGAATTAGACAGGAATAATGTAAGGGAATTTGCAACAAATGGGGAGAACTTAACATCAGCCTACACTAGAAAGATCTCAAGAGACTTCCCCACTTCATTCTTTCCCCTTTCTTTTTTCCCTTCTCCTTTCTCTTAGACTATAAGGCTGAATTTTGTAATCAGTTACCAAACTTTGGGTGTTTAATTCTGTAATCACTTGCCAAATCTTAGACACTCAATTTAGTAATTTTTCAATTTTACAATTGTAAAGAAACAATACAGACTGAAATGTCACCTGATTCTTAAGTACACAGCTTACTCATTAAATAGAAATTAAATAGAAAATAAAACCATAATTCAAAATTTCCCTGACAAGCTGGAATGGTAGCCCAAATCCAACAGTATGATGTTCAGTTATAACAACTTAAGCTCCTGTATCTGGGTAGGAAAAATAAAATATTAGTACTTTTAACAGTACAAAAGGGAGGCTGGAAATGTTAGTAGGTGAGCGTGGGGGATGGAGGGGGAGTACCCACTTCACCCCCACTTTAAATCTATTGTGATTACGCTGTGGCTAAAATAAATATGGAAGTGGCTTTCAGTGTGAGGACTCCCTCTGGATGCCCAAGGAGGCTGACGACATCTTCAAAGGCAGTGAGAAGAGCTGCCAACTAGTGTATAGAGATCTACAATTTAATTTCAGGAGAAAGGTAGATAGGTTCCAGGTGGTTAAGGACTTAATAACCGCCACCATGGAGTCCAGGGACAAAGGCATCTTCAGGAACTAGAGGGCAGGGACATTCAAAAACAGGGGAGTGGAAATCGCGTGCTTACAATCCGATCTATATGCCATATCCCCAATGCTGCACACCCAACCAGCATTGCTCTCAATAGTATTATAGAGCACTCAACCACATTCCTGGCCCAAACCTGTGAGTGCTGGCAGCAAGTGATTCCTAACTTGAAAGGTTATGCAGAAGTGGATAGAGGGAACGGTCTGCCAGGCAGAAGCCCTGCCACACATTGCTGAGGATATGGGGTGGGGACATATCCCTGTGCCATACTTCCTGCTGCCCCTCTAAGCCCAAGGACAGCCCTCTATCCATTTGGTGCCCATGAGCTATGCTTCATCTTTGACTCTCATGAGGGGGATGGGGATGCGTAGGGAGTCTCAAAAAAGGTAAGGTTTCCGTGAAACACACATAAAAAAGGGAGTGGGACTTCAATTCCACACTCAGAGAGTTCTTTTTTGACTCCTCCCTTGATGAACACTTTGACATTATGATTGGGAACTACTGCCAAGGAGTGGGGAGGGTGATTAGAAAGTTGCCTAAGCATAGGAGTAATATAACTCCACCCAGGCCAAACAGAAAATATGATCGAAGTTCTTCCCCAGAATCTGGAGCTATTAAGAGTTCAGAAGAGAGAAATAGATTAAATTCAGTGAACAACTATAATACTTTACAGCTTGAGAATAAGTTCCATACACAGGAAAGTGACATCTGCAAGCATGTATTCAGACACATACAAATACATACTGTATTCCCCTGTAGGAATTCATGAACTTGATCTTACTTTGACAAATATCTGATGGGGAGGTGCAAACAGAGTATCTTTTTATGCCCTAGTACCAGCATACTGTATTGTACCCAATACTGCTTGTTCTGTGGAGAAAGGCAGAGAAGGTAATATGTTTATCCTCCTCCTTGGGCACCACTAATATGGAAAATGAAAGCACAGCCCTGATAGATTAGTTCAGATTCTAGACCAGGTCTAGCATTCTCTGGTCTAGCATTTTCAGGGTGCCCAAAAGATGCATAAGGTAAGCCCGCAAAAAGAAATCAAACCCAACAGTGGACTCCCGAGGAAAAAGTAGTGAACTGAAGATGGTTGCAATGGAGCAAAGAGCTGGCGAGCAAACCGGCTCTGTGAAATTCCTCTCTGGACAAGGAGAGGACTTGAGATCACCAACAAGTGCTCCTCATGAGGAAGCTGCAAGACACTGGTCTCTGGAGGGTTTAGAGCTCTGGGACATAAGGGAAAGTCATCTTTGCTCAAACCGTGGTTGGCGCCTTAACGGACACTGGGTTCGCATACTTCCTTTTCTAATCACTTTTGGAAATTGCTTGTTAATTGCCTTTCAGCTATTAGGAACCTTTGGATCAACAAGTTTTATAGTGCCAGATGAGTTTCCTTCAATCCTTAGTGAATGAAGTTTTAAATAGAAGTTTAAGGACTTTTTAAAAAAATCTTTTTTTTTTTTTGGAATAAACAGCAAAAGGATGATTGGAACATTGATTTTGGAAAGTTACAAATGGACTATGGGTCCAGATGGATTAGAAATAGTATTTTGAAATTTAATTCTAAGAATCCTTCCCATAGGAAAACGCTGTTGTTTTCAATTCTTAAAAAAAACATGATAGGATGGAATTTTGAAGGTTGGACACTAGAGGGAACCAGAAGGAATTAAAGATTACAATTAAAGGAGAACACTTAAATTTGACTAATACAGAATGGAGCAAAATATTTTAACATTGGACGTACTGAAGGATATTTGTGAACAATGGACCCAGAAGTTGATTTTAAGAGAGTGTGCCATTATAGACAGACTGTGTTTAAAAGATATTATGGAAGAGGAACAAATTTGACTGGACAAGACTGAGACCAATCTGAAAATGGATTTAAAAATGACTGGCTACAAGAATTATATGGAAAAAGATGCTACACTGGACATACAAAAGAAACCGGCTAATGTCTTAATAATTAAAAGGGATATACAAATAACAAACCAAATGAGTGACGTGGATAACTTTCCCATATTGAATTTACAAAACAGACTTGTTAAAACTTTGAAAAATTTTGTGAGAAGGGACAAAGAAAAAATGAAATCAAGTTCTAGGACGTTATTTGAAGGGATTAAAGCTCAAAAGTGTTAAAAGTAAAAGGAAGGAATATAAAGTTGGTTTATTTGATCAAGGTTAAAATAGATATGTTGCTGACCAAGACTGAACCAACAAGGCTTTAAGGATTTGTTTACAGATAAGAAATGAGATATGGGAAGAAGAGATCATTTGTTGTAGTTTAAGAGTAGGTGATAAGTTACTAAAATTGTTTATACTTGCGATGAAGGGGGAAGTCATTTCTTTATATATTTCTTTTATTTTCTTTTATTTTCTTATTTTTCTATTTTTCCTTCTTTTCTGCGCTGTCTATTTTTTCTTTTTATTCTTTTAGGGTTTTTTTTTTTAGCTTATATTAGTTTTTCTTTTTAATTGTAATGTTTAATAAAATTACCATTAAAAAAAAAAGAAAGCAAACCCAACAGCACCTTATCACTGGTGTTCCCCAGCAACTGTTATTGAGAGGCATACTGTCTATAATCCAGGAGATAATGTGTTATTACTGATGGCCTCCCCCTCAATGAATTTGATTCTCTTAAGATATCCAGATTGAAGGCCATCACTACATCTTGTTAAATGTGATTAGATCATGAAAAAAATAAATATCAAAATGCACCAAGAGTTGACATATAAAGGAACATATTCACTTAAAAAAATATTGTATCCATATTATTCTTTATAAACTAAGAATTAAATATACTGGTGCTGATTTGATACAACTGAGATATATCAATTAAGAAATGCTCGAGTGAATGTTTCAAAAGTATTATATTATCTGAAATAATTCAGTGTAAGCCCACTGGTAAGATACATAGCCTGCTCCCATTTAAAATTAAACAAATACACATTGTAAAAATGCCTTAAGGTAGCAAAACAATATAATTTTTTTAAAAAAATTAAACACTCCAAACTCTTGATATCAATTTGCAATACTTTGTTTTAGGGAATACATATTCCAAATTAAGAATTAACAGGCTTTTTAAAAGAAAAAGGCAAGAAAAATCCTTGGCAAAGCTTTTTTTCGTCTTTGACTAACAAATGAAAATGAATAATCATCTGTTTTAAACCAAGGTACTTTAAGAAGATTATCTCTTAAGAGGAGCTTTTTGAATAACCACTCAGATCCATTTTTCCATTCCCATTTCAAATTTCAACATTACCAAAAAGCTGAATTAGTAATAGCAGGTTAAGGGAAAAATGTAACAGTCAAGCAATAGAATTACATTATTTAGCAATAACAAATTAAAGCATGGAGAGCAATATTTGTTGTAGGTTTAAAAGAAATACAACTGGGGGAAAACACTGTACATTACAACTTGGAAGCTGTTAAAGTGACAAATCCAGAGACTGTACAGTGCAACACATGCTTTTCCAGTTCAATTTCAAAACAGGAGGAGTGCAAAAGAAATTAACATTTTTATATCTGAACTCAATGTATTTCTTAGGATAATGAGAGCTAGAACACAGGATTACAGAGAGTTCTTTCCACATAACAGTAAGATCTTTTTCTCAACACACATAAAACTTGGATGGTGACTCCGCAAGCCTGTGTACTCTTATCAACAAATAACTTCTGTCCAGTTTAATGGTCTTTCGATCTCTGAATCAGGACCAGTAGTGTATAACCAGAAACCCACAAGCAAAAGGAGCCAAACTGTGCAATCTGGATTAAGTCAACAAGCAAGCAAAAGCAGCAAAATAGCTTGGCTTATATATTCCCTTGTAGTATTCAGGCAGAATAGCTCCAGAAGATAAGCAAAGCTGTGTTCAAAGCATATGCAGAGTCATGGATGAGGAACCAACAAATGTTCTATCAAAAGATGGGAGAGGCCAACTATTCAACAGTGATTCCAGGCAAATGCTTTTACCAAGCTGACTAAGCAATGCATGCATCTCTCCATGCAAGATAAAAATATGGCTCCTAATGCTTAGAAGTAGGGTATGCATTTGTGGAAACTAGACTGATATCCCTCGCTTGTTACATTTACAAAAATATATATAGCCAATACTGTAAGCTTACTTGTTATGTAGACTCTCACACATATAAACTACTTTTCAGATGTTCTAAACAAGGTCACTTGCAACAAAAAGTCAACCTCCCCCACCCCCACACAAAATTTTTTAAAAGTGGGTATTTTCAAGACAACAGGACGTCTGTTGTTTAACCGTTTCTAATTTTATCATTGATTAAGCCTGAATTTATTCTGAAAATACTAATGTATGGAAACTGATGCATAAACTTAAGTTTCACTTTAATAGTCATTTTCTGCGTAGAAAATGAAAGCAAACTTTTTAGGACATGATAGACTGGGTCTGGTGGGTACAAATTTGTGACAAATTATAATTGTCCTGTGCAACAGACCCACTCAAACTGAAATGGGGTTGTTGGGGTGGGTTGTGAAGTAATGTCTCAGCAATGAGAGAAAGTTCGTTCAAGTCTATGATGTTCTGAAGAACCAGCAGCCTAGATGATACATGCTGTAAACTGCAGCATCCAGACCAGACAACCCGCTTCAGCTATTAAAGCAGTGTGTTCTCCTGGAAGTGCCATTTATCCCAAAGTTATTTATTATTTCGAAGGCGTTTTGACTTTCTAGGTGAACCTATTGATTCAGCAGCCTTCTTCCGTTTCCTAGGGGCCTCCTCAGTTGGTGCTGACCCAGAGGAATTTCCTACTGCACTTTCCATGACTTCTCGCAATTTGCGTTCAAGCTCTGCCAGTCGGGCATTCTGCTCACCTATGATTTGGGTTTGCTCAAGCAGTTTCTGATCTTGGTCTTGGAGCTGTTTCTGCTGCTCTTGCACTTTGGTGCGAAGCTCTGAAATTTCACGTCGCAATACAGTCACACCTGCACCATTAGTTTTAATTTGTTGTTGAAGTTTGGTGACTTCCTGTCTCGATGGGTTTTGTTTGGAGAAGAGCTGCATTGTAGTTAAAGCTGCAGAAGGACCTGGAACTGAAGGGGGGGAGAGAGAAATTGCTTTCTGCTTAATATCTGTTTTCAATCCCATAATTCAAAAACTGAACATCAAATTTACAAAGTGAATGCATCATCCCATGAGGTTTTATAAAATATTTAGGGTGGCCAAATAAGTAAGCTGTATTTGAGTATATGGCTTTCTTCTACAGAAATAAGCACTACCCTACTGCTGATGAAATTCTGATTCTGTACTGCATAAAAGCTCTATTTGGAATAACTGCTAATGATGTAGATGAAATACACAAGTGTGCAATATTAATGTGCTGCTACTGGAAATCTGATTGGAATTGTGATAATTGTGGAACTTTCTACCTAGCTTGCATTCCTTTCTCATTGACTGGTTTTCTTGTCCTGTAAATATATTAAATATTTAATCTCTCAATGTCCATAACTCCAAATTTTCTACTGAAAAGATCCTACTGAGGATACTTAAAAGCCTTTGAAACTCCCAGAATAAAATAACCAAAGCAAAAACTGCAAATGTATTACTTTTAAATCTTTCCTTTTGCATTTATTATAGCAATATCACTCTGCTATCTCCTTAAACTTTAAATGTAAGTATGGAGTAGATCTTTTGACAAAAAGTACATTCTATAATAATTACAATAATTTGTTTTTTAAAAAGTCATTGAAGGAAGCGTATACACTGAGCAACATAAGGGCACATTCATTCATTAATCTTTTACGCTTTCTAAACCTCAGCACCTAAAGATCTCTTGCCATTTTATGTGAAAATCATTAGTGATCTGATTTTATTTATATTTCAAATTTAGTCACTGCCCATCTTACTCAAGACCTTAGTCTTGGTAAAACAAGAATAAATATTAATTAAAATACAATTTTAAAATTGTAAAGATTTTAAAACATATTCTGTTGTTCCCACATCATGCCACCAGTAGATTTCTAGAGTGTGTCTATCTTGAATCAAAAGTAACAGTGCTACATTAATAGGAATCATACACTCACTGAACTGTGAAACTTTCCTATATTTATTAAATTTTAAGTTCTATGGTACTAATATAAATATTTCTATTTTAACTGATATATTAGCTATGCTTAGCTACGCTATGTTCTGTTTTTTTATAATTGTTAATCATTGATTGCCATGTATTTTGGGAAGATTATTCAGAAGTTCAGTAAATTTTATTTTTGACTTGTCATGGAAACACACAAAAGGAGACAAGAAAGAGTACTTCATCCATTAGGGTTTCCAGCCTCAGGAAAGATTGTTAGCAGACATATGAAGTGGTGTGGTTTGTTAAATGACTTGTTGCCAAGATGAAAATATCATAAAGTTCTAAGAGGAAACTGGGGGGGCAATGTATTATTTGTAATGATGATTTGTTTGCCCTAACAGAAGGAGGGCCAGTTTGGTTAAGAAGGTCAAAAGTAATTGCAGTTTTTGAAGAAATAAGAAATATATAGCATCTGGTTGCTAGTTTTAAAAAATGGGAAATACATCACAATGCATGATTGCTAAATTTTCTAATGACAGAAACTTTTATCCTACACAAATGACCTTTTGATTTAGAAGTACAGGTAGTCCTTGCTTAATGACCATTCGTTTAACAACAGTTTGAAGTTACAAAGGCCTTGGAAGGGGTGCTTTACAGCCTATAAAGCACTTCTGGCCATTGTAAAACATCACACCGCCCCCCCCCAGCGGTCACATGGCCACAGTTTGGGTGCTTGGCAACCAGTTCACATTTACGACTGGTTACCAAGCGTCCTGCAATCACGTGATCACCATTTGCAATCTTCATTGCCAGCTTCCCCAGAAAGTCAATGCAGGGCTTTGGCAGGCTTTAGGAACGTTTGAGAGCAAAAGGGCTGTCTGCCTGGAAGATTTCAGCTCTTTTGCTCTGTCCACTTAATGTCCTGGGAGATCACTTAATGACCGCAACGAGGATCAAGATTCTGGTCCCAATTGTGGTCGTTAGGCAAGGACTACCTGTATGTACACTGGTGATAAATAACCCTTTTTTGATTATTAAAAAAACCTTTCAACCAGATAAAGAGGCTGGTATTACAACTGTAAGTTAACTCTGGTCCACCCCCCTAAATCAAATGAGTGACTGTCTAGGGGTTGATAATGTATGAATTATCTTGATTCATTTAAAGGTTGGTTTGATTTGTTAAATATGCTCTGTACGCACCGCCCCCCCCCCGCCCCAGCAAGTCCTGTGCTACTGCCTCATTGTGGCAGGGAGGGGGGTTCCTGGGAGGGATGAAAGAAGAATGTCAGGAGTGTATGCCAAGAATGTATGTTCCCAGCAGGTCACCCAAGACATGAAAGTCATCCCAGCTGTAAGCTAAAGCAAGCAGGTGCCTATATTGGGCAGCAGCAGTATAGGAAGATGCTAGAGTTAGATGATTGCTTTAGTGCCCATGGCAAAGGCATTAATGCATACTGGGTGGGAGAATGCCATGGTAAACTACTCCTGTATTTTTACCAAGAAAACCACATGGATAGATAATATAAAATGACTAACGATATAGTGCTGGATGATGGGCCCCTTACGACGGATAGCACTCAACGTGCTACTGAGAAAGAACTGAGGATCTTTCGGAGTGCCAGTGGTGTTTATGATGCGGCTAGAGTAAAGCCTTTGGGACACCTAGTTGCTGACATTACCATACAGGAAAAGAACATCTGAAGTTGCAAAGATAGAATTACAGTAGGAATACAGAATGTAAGAAACATGAACACAGGAAAGCTCAACACAGTGAAAGATGAAATGACTACAAATTGACATCTTGGGCATCACCAAATTGAGATAGACTGGGATCGGATACTTTCAGTCAGAAGATCACACCATTTATTACTCAGGACATGAAAAACAAAGAAAAAATTGTGTTGCTTTTATAGTTAGGAAGGGTATAGCAAGAACAGTACTTGGCTACAATGCAATCAATAACCAAATAAAATCAATTAGACTTCATGGACAACCCTTTAGTATGATGATCATTCAAGTTTATGCTCCAACCACCGATGCAGAAGAGGAGGTTGATGACTTCTATGATCAAGTTCAATTTGAAATTGAAGGAACATGCAAGCAAGATGTGCTGCTTGTGATTAGAGACTGGAATGCCAAAGCTGGAAACATGAAAGAGGAAAATATAGTTGGACTGTGCGGCTTAGGAAACTGAAATGGAGCAGGAGACCAACTTACCAATTTCTGCCACTAGCTAATACTGTCTTCAAACAACCAAAACTATGCCTCTATACATGGACAGCACCAGATGGAGTATAGGTAGTCCTTATTTAGCAACTGCCTTGTTTAGCAACTGTTCACAGTTACGATGGTAATGAAAAAGTAACTTTTTAACCAGTCCTCGCATTTACAACTTTTGCAGGTCCATAAATCAAAGAAAAGCTAAAATAAGATTGTAAGCACAGTCATGGTTTAGCTTAGCGACCACTTCACTTAACAACTGAGTTGCTGGTCCCAACTGTGGTTGCTAAACGAGGACTATAGATATATAGAAATCAAACTGATTATATTATTGCTAAAAGGAGATGAAGGAGTTCAATTATAGCATCAAAGACATGGCCAGGTGCTGACTGTGGAATGGATTATGAACTGCTCATGTGCAAGCTCCAAGTTAAGCTAAAGAAGAAGAAAAAAGCCAGTCAGTTTCCACGATATGATCTTGATATGATATGAAAATGACCCACCATTTTCAAGGAGAACATCAGGAATCACTTTGAAGTCCTGAACCTCATTGATAGAGAACCAGAGGAATTATGAAATGAACTTAAAGAAGTCGTTAAGGATGAAAAGAGACTGTCAAACATGAAGAAAGAGAAGGAAGCTAGATGTGTCAGGATTTTCTTTCTCATGGGAAAGGATTCGTCCTGTTATCTTTACAACAATAACAAATAATATTTTGGCTACAGAGAT